AAACATGATACTGTTGTATATTTTAAGTTTTTAAATCAGTTTTTTAAAAAACAAATTCGTAGTTTAAAAACGTACCTTATCAAGAAGAATTGCTAGACTGTACACTGGATCAGTTTGGGATTCAAAGAGCTCTTGTTTCACGACTGAGTCGATCATCGATCGTCGAAAAACAAAATTGGCAAAATCTTCGACAAACTTCGGTCAGTTAAATTGCTTTTTAGGTGCAACAATGGAATGAATTGAATATGAATAAAACATGATAGAATGGGACGTTTTAAGTCAAAAATCCTTTCGGAAGGTTCTTACTAAATAGCTTATAGTTTAGTTAATTTACTTGTGATGGAAGTTTACAATTATTTTTTAGTTTAGACAGTTTTCGTCGCGTGATGTTYCTTCATAATGATATATTTTATTTTTTCAGCTGTTGTTTGGCATGTTTTATGTCGCTCATATAGTGAATTACTGATGGATGTCACTGCATCCATTCCCCAGTGGTTGGCTCACAACGAAAAAAAMCCTTGACTTGCGATATCTATTGAAGAGTTTCAAGTTCGTTTAGTGGATCTACTGACATTGGATTAATTATTTTGCAACTTTGTCAGGGTAAGCAAGCATTTTTTTAAATTTTACTGCAGTGACTAAAATAAATTGATTAATTGATAAATGTTGGCACCAGGTCTCACACACAATCCTAGCAACTAGCAACTGTGTAGTACAGCCAGGTTTTTAGACCATGCAATTAGTTGTTGTATGTGATTCTTGCCATTTTTAGGGTGCTTTCCATTATAGGCAGAACTGGCCGGCCAGTCCACTCTATTTAGAGGTAAATAATGCTTTTTGTCAACATTTTTCAGTAATTTCGAGGTTTTCTGTAGAATAATGGATAGAATTTGAAGATTTGAATTTCCTAACTAAATGGGAATGATGTATAATGACATTTTCTCTGGGTCTGGCCAGCTAGTTCTGACAAATGGAAAGCGTACTTATTATCTATAGGGTCCGCAGTAATTGGCTCACGCTGTTGCGGTGTCACTGCCCTATCCTTAATTGGGAGAGCCTACGTAGAACTCAGTTGATGTAATATATTCATAAAGATATAATACAAAACACATAATACAATAGAACGAGAAACAATGGAATACAATACATTTTATGAATACATTACATTACGTAGGTCCCCCCATCCTTAATTTATGTCCAGTGTATGTATTAACGAAATTTATTTCCAGTTTGTGTATCCTTCAGGGCAAAGCTAATAAAATAAAAAATAAATACAATAAACTTAAAAACCAATTTTAGGCTTCCAAAGATACAAAGGTTTTTCCTTAGGGGAGTTTAAGCGGGAATACGGATGATACAGATGATACATCAGATACTGATAAATAGCTTGATTGGAAAAAGCCAATTCTGATCTCAACTGACATTTTAATTTTAACTTTATTAGCTTTGCCCAAAATTTAATAATCAACAAATTAAACATAAAAATTTAATATAGATATTAGGGGCCCACATACCGCAACTGTGTTTAAAAATGGACGACACTAATTAGCATATCGTTAAATTCATAATGTTAACAGAAGAAAACACTCAGATGGTAGATAATAAAGCTAAAAATAATTTCTGAAAGTTTCACAGAAAAATATTAAATTCTCTTGAAGCTATAAGGGTTGGAAGAGGCACGAAAACACCAAAACGAGGCTACGAGCCCTCAGTAAAGAATTCATTTTCCTGTTAAAATATTTATATAACGGTTGCAAAGCTACTTTAAACTGCATAGAATCTATTCAATTTCTGTCTTTAATAATTTATATTTTGATAATAAAATGGATAATTGATGATAAACTGGTCGTACATAGCACGTGGTTGAAATTGCAGGTATAA